AACAGGCAGATGGACGAAGTACACTGCTGAGGGGAGCAGCGGGCGGGTCAGGAGAGGTCTGCCACGCCATGTGGTCACCTCTGGGGCAGGCGGGGATCGAACTCATACGAAAGCGGCTTTAGATTCTCAGTGCTGTGCTTTAACCCGCTGCGCCACCAGGGAGGGCCAGTTTCTGTATTTTTAAGGTGATGGGGCAAGCAGCTCTTTCAGAGGGCACATGTACTCGTGGCCTGTTTTCTCTGTGGTATGACCAACTAGCAACCTCAGCAAATGTCAGGCCTCTTCTAACACTTCTCACTCTTGAAATTTCTTTCTCTTTCTTTGTCTCTTTGTTCTTTTCCTACCTACTCTGACTGTTTCACCTCAGACTGCCCTGCACAAGCTGCACCTTCCTCCCACAGGTGTTGCCAAAGTATCCCTAGGCTCAGAAAGTTGTCTCATCTAAGTACTCTGCACTTACCACATTATTTTGAAATCTTCAGGTATTTTTCTCTCCACTACATTCTAAAATCTTTAAGGAAGCATGTTTCTCTTGTTAACTTTTCATTTTTTAATACCCAGTGCTTAACTATTTACTGGATACAACAGAAAAAAAAACTATACTTTTACTACTTCTTAATTCTCAGTTCTACAGTATTGCTACTCAGGTTTCATTTCCTCGGCTAATGGCTTTGACATTACCTTGAAGTTTGATAGAAAGGCAGAATCTCAGGACATGGTCCAGACCTAATTAATCAGAATGTGCAATTTTTTTTTATTGAGGTGACAATGGTTATAGCACTCTGTGATTCAGAGGCCTAGGATCACCTTCCTGAGATGCATATCACACCACCACAGAATCTGAGATTCCAATGCACAAAGAAGCAGAAATGAATGGCTCTCTGATAGCCTCTAGTGAGCTTATTTTAATTAATTAACCAGTAACAAATCCAGACTTGCAACACATTTTACCGGAACTCTTGTTAAGACAGGTGTTTCCTAACACGAGAATGTGAGCTAGTTCCTGATTCTTTGACTGCTCACATGGAAATTATGGGTGAGCCAGTAAGGGGAGTGACCTTAGTTGGAAACAAAGGCAGCTGCCTCCGGCTACTGAATATAATCACTACTGTCAGTAATTTTATACCTTGTAGGGATGAGAGGAGAAATGTAAGAGGAAAATTTCGGGGCAATAAAGCACCTTGAAATAACAGCTAAGGCAGGAGGAGCAACAGTGGAATTAGTTGTGCCAGATGTCCTTCACCATGTTTTCTGGTTCTGAGATGTTAGGACGTTAGGAGGCAAACAGAGCAGGTGGGCAGCATGCAGACCCAGAAGGCAGCAAGAGCTCCTTCCAGCAGAGGAAGCTGTGTGAAATAAAGCAGGGAGGGATGCGCCAGCTGCAACACTGGATGCTGGAGAAACAGGACAGTCAGGTTGCTGGGAGAACACACGAAAGGCATCATGTTGTCATGCCAACAAGAGAGGACTTTGATACAGTAGGTTTTCTGATTTCTCCCTTTACTTTCCAACGTCTTGTCCTTATTAATTAATACATCCTCCCTTTGTCTATAATGCTGGAAACCCCATTTTAAAGGTTCCAGGTTAAAATTCTACCCGTTTGTAGAGTCTCATCAAATGTCACAAGAAGTCCTACTATGTCCCCTGCCATGGCTATATATCCTTGGCAGTTGGACACAACATCTGATTATAGAAGCGAGTTCACGTGTAACGTTAGTTTCTCTTAAGCCTATATCCGTTGCAGAGGGTTGGTGTCCTGCTGGCACAGTGTATGTTGGGGGGGGGGTCTATATCTTTCCTTTCACAGCTCCCTCTAACACTCATTAAATGAAAACCCCAACAGTTTTTGGTGTTGCTGCAAAAGATAACAAAGTACCATCGACTGGCTCTAAGTCCTTAAGAGTTGCACATTTTAAAGTTGGGCTGAGCAGATTATACATTCTTGCCACTTTCTAATAGCAAGAAGGGAATACCTGGTGGGAGCAGTGGGTGGAGGGATTGATGGCAATGGGAGAGTGAAGCGAACTGGAATCAAGTCCAGCAGTATCAGGTCCTGACCAGGGGAGGAAATAAATATATCCTGTACTTATTTGTCACTGTTTCGTGACCCACATAGAAAATTCAAACAAATAACAAAAGGCATGAAGGCAAATAGTAGTGCACATCAACTTTTCTTTAACATGAATCTACAGTCTTGTTACTATGTCAACTTACAAATGTAAGTCTAGATTCTGCCATATGCCTTTTTTCTATCAGATTAAGTCTTTTGAAGCCTCTTGCCAAAGGAGACTATGTATGGAAGAACTTTATGAACTATAAGTGCTCTTTAGTTATACAAATGAAAGGGAAGGTAATGATATAAGTTATGTATGTAAAACTGAATAATCTCTTCTGCTCATATCATTAGAAAAGTTACAATTGTGTGTACCACATGTAACTGATATTTTTATATAATATATATATATATAGTTAGTTTTTATTTTTTGTTGCTGCTGAAACTATTGTTTTGGGGAGGATTTTCTTTTTTTAATATTTATTTATTCATACAGAATTGGGGTACAAGCCAGAGTTGCAGAGGTGGTGAGAGCCTTCATCAGAGACAGAGTGGGGGAGCAGAACAGGCAGATCATGGAAGTACACTGCTGAGGGGAGCAGCTGGCTGGTCAGCAGAGGTGTACCCCCGCCGTGGGATCACCTGGGGTGGGGGGCGGGGCGGGGATCCAACTCAGACTTGAAAGAGGCTGTGGCTCTCTTGCAGTGCTGAGTCCTAACCGGTTGCACCACCAGGGAGGGCCAGATTGTTTTTATTTTTAACATAACTTGAACAAAATGTAACCTAATATATTAGTATAGTAGATATAGAAAGGGACAATAAAACCCTCAGTATGCCGTAGTTCAAATAAACCCTCCCAGAGAGGATCATTCTTTTAATACTATGCGGTCCTTTTCACATTTTGGAGTATTATGAATATATTCTTATCTATTTCTGATATTTAGAATGTATTCATATTCTGCTTATGACCTAGCATTATTTACTTCTAGTCAAAAGAATTTTAGATGGTAATTTTAATGTAGTGGTAATCTGGCAACAGATAAACATATAGGAATAGGAGTCAGGCTGTCTGGGTGTGACATTAGCCTTCTCTGAGCCTTAGCATCCCCTTTGGAAAAAAAGAAAGCATCTTGTAGAATTCATGTATTTAAGCACTTCGGGTAGTATCTGGCACTTAAACATTAGCTATAAGAGTGCCATTGTATATTGTTTGCAAAATTACAAGTTTTGGTATAATCTTTATTTTTCATATTTTGTTGGTATTAATAGAAGAAACAATCCTAAACCACAGTAATTATGCTATGTAGAATCTACATTTTTGAACCAAGGGAATGTGAGTTCTTGCTGTGTAGCTAGTAGCTAAATTTATGAAAAGAGGAGAGGATCCAGGTAATTCATGTGATCAGCATATCTGGAACTAATTCACTTTCTGACATTTAGAATACACACAAAAAATGTTATTCATCAATCACCACATTCTGTAGAAAAAGAACAAAAACAGCTTTTTTGGAGTTCCCAGTGATAAACTTTTTACTTTGGGGCTGTTTTTGACTTTTGAGTTTTAGCAGCAGATTGCAAGGTATCTTTAACTATGAAATTTAAATGATTAGATGTTTAGAGGGGAACTAATTTTATCATATGTGGCTCCAGAATAATTAATTAAAATATATGCAAATAGTTATTCAGGTTTGTTTTCTCCTTTTTTTTGTTTTTTGTTTTGCCCAAAAGGTACTTCTTAACAAGCTTTTCTGGAAATCAGAAGTCACTAAGCTGCTTAAATATCTGCACACCAGTGAAGTTACAGATTATCTAATGACTACAGACAATCTTGAGACAAAGCTTAGTTTTACAGAGCATAGCAAAGGGCTTAGAAGAACCCCAAATGATATATATTTTTAAAGATTTATTTTTAATTTATACATGCATACAAGAACTGGGGAGTAGTTCATAGGGGAGAGAAAGAGGATTCACCAGAGACAGAGTGGGGAGCATAACAGGCAGATCTACTGAAATACACTGCTGAGGGGGGCAGTGGGCCGGTCAGGAGAGGTCTGCTGCACCATGTCGGTCAGCTCCCTGAGCCTTAGCCCCTAGGCCAAAAAGGAAGTCCATATATATATATTTTTAAAGATTTATTTATTTATGCACAAAGAACTGGGGTACAGGCCTGAGGTGTGGGGGTTGTGAAAAGATTCACCAGAGACAGAGTTGAGGCACAGAACAGGCAAGTCCATGAAGTACACTGCTGAGGGGAGCAGCGGGCGGGTCAGGAGAGGTCTGCCACGCCATGTGTGTCACCTTCAGGGCGGGGATTGAACTCATGCTGAAGTGGTTTTAGCTTCTTAGTGCTTGCTTCAACCTCCTGTGCCACCAGGGAGGGCCCATATTTTTTATTTTTAAAAAATCAAGTAATTTAGGAAACCAATGAGAGAGATCTGTAACAAACACTCAGTACAAACTGCTTAGACGACTCCTCAGGTCCTCCTGAGGTCTGGCACAGTCTCCCACAGACAGATCAATATTTGCAAGGAACTGGGCTTCTGAGCACAGATGAAATTTATGATGATTAAGACAAATTAAAAAGAGTATAGTCATCCTCCTTGTCCCAGGGGATATCTAAGACCGCCCCCACTCCCCAAGAGGATACTTGAAACCACAGATCATCTCAAGTCCCATCTTGTTTTGTCTGTGTATAATAAGATAAAGTTTACTTTATAAGCTAGACATGATAAGAGATTAGCAAAATCACTAAAATAATCTAGAACAATTTGACAATATATCATAATAAAAGTTAAATAAATGTAAGTTCTTTCAACATATTTTATTGTATCATTATTATTTTTGGATTATGATTGCCTGTTGATAACTAAAACTGTGAAAAGCAAAACCATGATTAGGGAACCAGCTGTGTATCATCAAAGAAGAAAGGTTGAAGCCAATGGTAGCATTTGACACACAGTTAAATATAAGGTTTGCTATCTATCAACCATTAACCCATTAACCCACAGTCTTCTTGTCCCAGAGCTGGAATGACTGAGAACAGCTTTTAGGGTTTTATGAGGACCGATGTCCCAAGGATGGAGCCACTGTGGATGTTGGTACCAACTTATGGGGGGCAGGTTATCCAGTTGTCCATTATTCCCCTACAAGAGGGAATTTTGGTGACTATTATAAGAATGTCTAAAGCCTACTGACTACCTATAAGGTAATAAATCTTTAGCTAATTAAAATCTACAGTCTTCATACAACATTGAAATGAATCATAATCAAGCTCTATTATTTCCTATTCCAAAATAACTGTTATGTAGAAAACTTGTAAATAATATTGTTTATTTTATTACTAGATGAAGGAGCTGCTAAGATAAATGTAAACAGAGCCATGTAAATAAAGAGGATATATGCACATTAATTAGCATAAAAAATTCAAGGACTCTTACCTCAAGAATGGGACACATGACTTCTGCTGTGACATCACCATGATTCTTGCAGAATGCATAGAATGCCTCCAGGTAAGACTCAAAAAGAAGAAACATCATAAGCAATAAAATCAACATATTTTCCTTTTGGAAACTTCTAGATCAGCTTTTCATGGCTTATTAAGCATTTTGAGGAAATTGAATTACTTATCCCATAGGGAGATATTTTATAATAAATTTGGTACAAGTTTTCACATTGAAGTGTACTGCACACCTAGGAAAGAATGCCATGAAAGAATAAAATCACACTTACCATACCTCATAATTACTTAACAAGCACTATATTTTGCAGGCTTCTTGGGTTATGCCACATGGTTAATTCTTGCTATTTTAATAAGAATGCCAATCTCTTTTATGGATCAGAAAATCAGCCTGGGCTATGTTTGAATGACAGTACTGTAACTCACTAGTAACTGACGTCTACCAAGTAAATCTTATCTCTCTTTGCCTTGGTTTTCTTATAAGACTGAAGATAACACATTGATAGCTGGGTGGGTTAAGAAAATTCATGCTTATAAATGCTTAGAACAGCACCTTCTACTAGCTATCCCACAGGGATGCCTGTTGTAAGGTCATAACTCTCTTTATAAAATGGAAAAATAGGGGCCTTACTGGTGGCTCAAGGGGTTAAGTCTCAGCACTATGAACCTATCATCAGCCACTACAGCATGAGTTCAATCTCTGG